CTAACAGACTGTTGTCTAGAAATCCCTAAAGCTGAAAGTCGATCAATGAGGATACTGTGATCGATGGTATCAAACGCGGCGGACAAATCGAGGTACACTGATAATGTACAATATCCGTTGTCAAGGGCCTGCAAAATATCATTATTAACTTTGATTACAGCAGATTCCGTACTGTGTGCTTTTCTAAAGGCTGACTGGTAAGAATCAAATAAATTATTGGAATTTAAAAACTTAACAAGAATGGAACAGACAACTTTCTCAATGATCTTGGCTACAAAAGGGATATTAGTAACTGGCCGATAATTGATAAACGAATGAAGATCCAATGTTGATTTTTTTAAGAGTGGCGTGATAATACCAATCTTTAAAGAGTCAGGAAAAATGCCGGAGGATAGGGACGAACTGACAAGAGAACGAAATAATGAGACAGCACAACTGAGTTTACGAACAATCTTGGTAGGGAAAGGATCCAAATCACAAGATTTCGGTGCCATAGATATAAGAAGTTTTGCAACCGTGTCTTCACTGACTGTCTCAAAGCTTTCAAGTTTGGTGATATGACATGAGGGATGAGATGCGGCCGTGAAAGATGAAACTTCAGATTTGATAGATAAAATTGGATAAACTATTTAATCCAATTTTGTTTCAGACCGCGCCTATTGAACCACACCACTGTGAGTGTTGCATTCACAAGTAGCCAAAGGTTGTTAAGATGGCCAATTTCAGTGTCCAGTTCCGCACACGTATGACTGATAAAGGTAATTAATCTATTTGAAAGATGCCTTCACTCCCGATGTACCTGTAAAATTATTAAATGATATATAATTATTTAAAATCTACATCTTACAAAAATTAAATTAATTGAATTGACATGGCATGTACTACATACTATGTATGTATTTATTTTGTAGGAATGCAAATATTCCCTGATGATGAAGTCATTAAGGTGGATAACAAGTGGCAATGATGGTAATACTAGTGTAGTGGCTGCTGACAGTGCTAACAAATGTGATACTACAGATGCCATTACAAGTGGCGCTAAAAATACACTAGACAAGGTGGCAGATAAAACCGTAGGCGAGTCAGCAGATAAAGCTGAAAGTGAGCCAGAAGATGAGACAGAACATGAAACAGATGATGAGACAGATTCGGAGGACGATGATAGCACTACTGACCCAGACTATGAACCATTTGATGATATTGAAACGGAGGCTGATCAAGGTGAAGATGATGTGTGAGTTAATTTCTTTTTATTGTTGTTTTGCATTCAGGTCAAACACTATTATGTCAATAACATGTCAATGAAAAATTGTTATTTTTACGGTTAGCTATTGTTTTGGCATTTTCGTTTCTTATTTATTTTGTCTGGTTATTTATCTTGGTCTATAGCTCAGACTTGTCAATGCGCCACGAGCGTCTTTGATGGATACCGGTGCATTATAAATGTTGGTTTATTGTATTGTATTATAGTTATTGTTGTATGAAAACCTTTTTATGGCAGGATTTCTCACATCTCATCTAAACTTTTTCAATATTTTTCAGAGACCATGTACCAGGTGATGTGTACAAAGGTCGAAAGTTCCTGTGTACGAGGACCAACTTTTAGCTGCCTTTCAAGTGTGTCCAGTTTGCAGTTCACCAGCAAAGGGTTCTGTGTTTGCTGTGCAGGGTACATTTTGCAGAATTAGACAAGTTTGTGCTTCCTGCAATTTCAAGAGAATGTGGGAATCGCAGCCCATGATAAAGAACACTCCTGCAGGGAACATTTTGCTATATTCAGCCATCTTGTTCTCCGGCTCATGTGTTGCCAAATCACTCAGGCTTTTAAGGCATCTGAGATGTGCAAGCATCTCAGAGCAAGCATATTTCATTCACCAACGGAATTTCCTGCTCCCAAGCATAGACCCTGTGGGAAGAAGACAGAAAGAAAAGGATAGAAGAACTAACAAAAGGAGAAAAGATAGTTCTTGGTGGTGATGGCCGATGCGACTCACCAGGACACTCAGCCAAATATGGGTGCTATACCTTAATGGACCTAAATGGTGCACGAATAGTTGATGTTCAGCTTGTGCATGTATATTTAAGATGATTGAAAAAAAATTTCCAAGATACTTTTGTAATTAATTCCTATGCAAACACAATTTTTCAGTTAAACATTAATTGTATTATTGGTTATGTTTTTTAGTCAAATGAGGTTGGCTCAAGCAGCGCTATGGAGAAGGAAGGCCTTGTGAGAGCCGTTACAGTTTAAAAGATGATGGAGTACACGTTGATGTATTAGTGACTGATCGCCATTCGTCGATCAAGAAGTGGGTGAGAGAAAACATGGAGGGAACAGTCCACAAATTTGACATCTGGCATATAGCTAAAGGTATATTGAATTTCTGTCTTAGTAAATAATTAAAAATTTTTCTTTGTCAATTTTTTTTCTATCGTTTAATATGATTATGATATTCTTATAGGAATCAAGAAAAAAATTGACGCTGTGGCAAAACTAGTGTGCGGCAAATCCCTCAAGCCATGGATACGAGCATGGTCAACCATGTATACTGGTGCGCAACATCAACAAGTTCTGGTGATGGGAAGGTGATGGTGGCGAAACCAGCATACAGGACATGGAGATCACTTTCCTAACTGTCTCCATGCAGAAATTGAACAACGGCAAAACAGGAAATGGTTAATACCAGGTAAAAATCACCAATTACTACTGTGCTGCTCTATTTTTGTACTAAAAATATAAAAGCATTTACAAATGAACTTGCATAAGTCGATTCCAAAGTGGCATTGAAAAATTGTTCGACTTTGATAAAATTCAAAACATAAGATTGACTTAGAAATTATTCGAGTTGATTTAGGCAGGTTTAACTGTATACGGCAATGCACACCACTAATTACAACAGTCATATCATTCCCTCGCAAAAAATTATTTTAAAAATTCACAGGAACTATTGCATGTAACAAGGTACTGGCGATTGTGAACAATCCTCGTTTGTGTTCGGACATAGCTATGATGAGCGAGAAGCACCAGACTTCCAGATTAAAAGCCTTCCACTCCCTCCTCAATCAATTTGCACCAAAGACCTACCACTTCTTGTATTGCCCTCAAAAGTGCAGGTAAATAATTTGTTATTAATGTTAGCAATAATAATGTTGAGCTAGATTGTTGTTGATTTGTATTAAGCAGAATCATGATTTATTCCTTATGTAACATTTTAATTGTGCAGGACCTTATTGGCTGTCCAGCATTATAATGAAAATGGAGGTCGCTCGCAAGCATCGACAGTGCATGGTGCAAGCCCTACGCAATAACTTTCCCAAAGTTCAAGAAAGGTGTTGCCGTTGTCAGACCAGTGGTGGTTGCAGCAAGTTATGGTAAAAGTTTAATCGAACAACAATAAAATCACTTAGTAGAAAACTTTTTTCTTCTTTTAAATCAAACTTTATTTCTTTCTCATACGTAAACTATTGGATCATTTAATACTTTTTGCAATATGTTGAAAATGTTGGTTGTCATGGTTATTTGATATAGTTGATAAACGACAATAATACTAACATTCTCAGTAGAGAAGTGTATATTTAAAACAGGTTTTTCTTTCATATGGAAACTATTTTGTCATATATTTTTCAGAGCATGTAGACAAACTGTTGGACCTTGTGGTTACTCGCTGTAATGAGGGAGTTATCCAGCCAAGTCAAGTAGATATTCCATCGTTTCTTTGTAGCAGCTTTGAGTATGCAGGAGACCGTTGTAAAAAAATATGCTTTAGTATTTATTTATAGACTTGGATATTTAAAACCTGCGTAATGCCCGGACCTGAATTTGTTCCTGATTTTGGCAAAAACACATGATGGTAAAACCACACGGTTACCTTTGCCCAAGTACCCCTGTGTCCATTTCACAAAGTTTCTGTATCCGGTGTGCCTGTATTTCCTGTAAAATATAAATATAAGAATTTATTGTTACGTTTGGGGATATTATACTGAATGTTTTAAAGTACTGTAATTATATTTCATAGACAGTAGCCCTGTTAGTATACTGTAGCCCTGATTTACAGATTACATTGGATTTTTATATTTAAAATGTGTTCGAAATAAAAATTGTTTTACTATAAATTGTGACTATAACTAGTACTGTGTAACTGTTTATTACTGAAAAACCGAAAGGTCCACTGATTAATCTCAGATAAGAAAGTATAATACGGTACATACTCCAAGTATTGAAATACACGCCATCGTGTTGGGATTCAATATTTTGACATTAATTATGTCATCATCAGGAATGAAAAAATTATCCATATTAGCAAGCTTATATGCACTAGTACAAAAAGTGTTTAACCAATCAAAACATTACCTCTAGTAGGTGACATAGCAGTGATTTAAACAAAAGATCAAAGCATTCTTACCTGTCTCTTATACACATCTAGATGTGTATAAGAGACAGGCACTCACTATTGCAGCCTGGACATTTAAAATGATAGACAACAGAACTTCTGTACTCCTTAGGGGTTTGATCCTTAGTAGATATAAAATGAGAAACATTTTTATACTGCCATAAAGTTATGAATTTTACCTCTTTAATTAAGTCTCTGACGACGCTCTCGTTAAGTCTACTACATGGTTACGTGCCTTAGTTAATAAGCATCATGTTAGGACTACTGTAGATAAGGAAATGCGTAAGGTATCTTACCGCCATGGACGTAAATTTAACAACCTTCTACGTGAACATGCAATAAGCAATGGAACGTGTACGAACCCTAACCATATAATTACTAACTTAACTGGCGAAACATTATCTAAGGAAGAAGAATCTGTCTTAACATTTGGTATCCGTAATGGATTAGCTACACGACCTAAGGACTCTGATATGTTTGTTTATGCTGAATCAATTTGGGAACAACTTAATAATGCTGATGCTCTACCTAAATCATTTAAAAACGTGAGAAAAATAAGAACTCAATTCGTGCAATGACATGTAACTTTCTTGACTTTAATAACCGCAATTTAAATTGTGATGCCCAACGTATTAATACTTTAAAAATTTTACGTAATAAGTATGTAATTCTTAAACCTGATAAAGGAAATGGTGTTGCGATAATGAAGAAAACTGATTATATCACATCTATGACAAACTTGTTCTCTGATTCAACTAAGTTTAAGAAACTATCTAACTGTTCATTAACTACACAGCTTAACTCCTTACAAGCCTACCTCCGGACACTATTTAATAGAAATGAACTAACTGAAACTGAATACAAAGAAATTCGTCCAACCATGCCTGCTAGAGCCCATGGACTACCTAAATTACATAAAGATTTTGATAATATTCCACCCCTAAGACCTATTATTGACACGACCGGTACTTGTTATTATTCAGTAGCTAAGTACTTATCAAACTTATTAGGCCCTCTAACGGTTAATGACTTTGTCCTTAAAGATTCTTTTGATGCTGCTGACCGCATTAAAGCTATACCAAACAATTTATATAATTTAGGTTACCGTTTTCTATCTTTTGATGTTGAATCTCTGTTTACAAATGTTCCCCTTACTAAGGTAATTAATATAATTCTTGATAGAGTTTACAATAAGAAACTGTTATCTACTAACCTTAAGAAAAATTCGCTAAGGAAGCTACTTAGAGATTGCTGTACTAAAACTGTATTTACATGTAATAATGAATTCTATAAACAAACTGATGGTGTCTCAATGGGTTCGCCTCTTAGCCCAGTTTTAGCTAATATTTTAATGACTGAACTAGAAGCGTCTATTGTTCCTAAACTTATTGAATCAGGTACTATTAAGTTTTATACTCGTTTTGTTGACGACACGCTAGTATTAGCTAAGCCCAATGATTTCCCGCAAATTCTAAGCTACTTCAATGCTTTTCATAGACAGATAAATTTTACTTTTGAATCATTTGAAAACAGTGACACAGTACACTTTCTGGATTTACAATTTAACAACAATGTAGAAAGCATGAGTATATATCGTAAAAATACACATAC